AACTCAATGAAAAGGAACAACATATACATGCAATTATATGGATGGATACCATAGTCTTTATGTTGTAGGATTCCACTTACATGAGATTTTAGAACAAGCAAAATTTATTTAAGGTAAACAAACAGAAAAACAGAAATTGCCTGTGGTTGGGGGAGGCACAAATTTACTAAGGTACTTTTATGGAAAGAAGAAATTGTTTTATATCAGGAGTCAGCCATGTTTGTCTGTAAAGGTACAAACAGTTAATATTTTAGGCATTGCAGGTCATATGTGGTTTCTGTTACAAAATGTTTCTTTTTTTAATAATGTAAAATATACCATGGGCCACAGTTCTGTAATCTCTATTCTTTATCAAGAGAGAAATCTAGATTATATTGTTGTGCTTCTTTACCATAATGTTAGAGAAATTATATGGGCATTTCAACAAAGTAATAATAATAACCAATGAATTAGGAATGAGTAGAGGTATAAATGAAATAATAATGATAGAATGTTGATAATTGTTCAAGATTGGTTGTGGGCACATAGATATTGTTGTATTATTCTCTTTATTTTCTGCATATTTTTAATTTTAAATAATAAAAAGCTTTAAAAGCATGATTGAAAGAGCCCTTAATGGGAATTTTGCAGTTACAGGTGACTATATAAATAAAGAAGTTTAATGTCAAAGCTTCCAATTAAAAAAAAAACAGAAAAAGAGCAACAAATTAAACACAAAAAAGTAGAAAGGAGGAAATAATAAGAATACAACACAATCAAACAGGAATCGGGGATACAACAAAGAAAAATCACCAAAGTCAAAAGCTGAATTTTAGAAAAGATTAATAAAATTGACTATCCACTAAAAAAATTGACCAAGAAACAAAAGAGAAAACATAAATTGTCAGTATTAGGAATGAAAGGCTGAATAATGCTGAAGACCCTAAAGATACTTATTTTCTAAAACTTTATGTCAGTAAATTTGACAACTTATATGAAATGGAAATATTCCTTTAAAGTCATAAGATGAAAGAGAAATTTTGAATAGTCAATTTTTTAATAGTAAAGGCATTCAATCTGTAACATAAAGTCTCTACACAAAGAAGACAACAATTGGAATCTATTGAAGAGAGTTAAGTAAAGGAATGACATGATCAAATTCCATTTTGAAAAGAGCACTCTGCAATGTGCAGAAGGGGTTTGAGAGTGATAAAAGTGAATGTGGAGAGAATAATTAAAAAACAATTTCCAGTGGTTGCCAGGGGTTGTGGGGAGAGAGGTATGAATAGACAGAGCACAGAGGATTTTTAAGGCAGTAAAACTAGTTTATATGATGCTATAATGGTGAATACATATCATTATATCTTTCAAAATCCACAGAACATACATCACCAAAAGTGAATCTTGTTGTAAACTATGGACTTTGAGTGATAATGATATTATGATGAATTGATTGTAACAAACATACCACTCTGTTGATAATGGGGGAAACTGAATATGTGGGGACAGGAGATATGTATGGACTCTCTGTATTTTCTACTTAATTTTGCTGTGAAATTTTTTTTTATTGTTGGTCGTTCAAAACATTACATAGTTCTTAATATATCATATTTCACAGTTTGATTCAAGTGGGTTATGAACTCCCGACTTTACCCCGTATACAGATTGCTGTATCACATCAGTTACCCTTCCATTGATTTACATATTGCCGTTCTAGTGTCTGATGTATTCTGCTGTCAGTTCTATTCTCTACTATCCCCCCTCCCCTCCCTTCCCCTCCCCTTTTCTCTCTCTACCCCTTCTACTGTAAATCATTTCTTCCATTTGTATTATTCTTCTCTTACCCCTCATTTCCTCTTATATGTAATTTTGTATAACCCTGAGGATCACCTTCCATTTCCATGCGAACTTAAAACTAAAGAATAAAGTCTATTAAAAGAAAATGTAATGGTTGTGGTAGCTGGAAGAAGATAGTTGCTTAGACTCAGGACAATAGTAAAAAAAAAAAAGTAGAGAAAAGAGAAGAACATTGGAGGTTTAAGAAGAAAGAAATAGCTTTGGAGTATGGGTTACAGAAAGTGAATTATTCAGTGAAGTATAATGTACTTATCAGACAGTATTAAGGGCCATTTTAATTAAGAAGTATGACATTGGCAACAAAGTAGACATGCAGACCAATGGAATAGAATGAAAGACACAAAGACAAGCCCACGTATTTACAACCCTTTGATACCTGACAAAAGTGCCAAAAGTATATGTTGGAGCAAATATATATTTGGAGAAAATGGTGCTGGGAAAACTGTATCCATATGTAGACAAATGAAATTAGATATCTATCCCTCACCCTGCACAAAAGTCAAATCAAAATGTGTATTAGATGAGAAACCTTTCAACTGCTAGAAGAAAACATAAGATCAGCACTCCATCGTATAGGTGCAGGCATTGACTTCCTCAACAAGATCCCTAAAGATCAAGACATAAAACCAAGAATCAATAGTGGGATGCCATCAAATTAAAAAGCTTCTGTATAGCAAAGGAAATGATTAAGAGAACAAAGAGAAAGCATACAGAATGGGGGAGAATCTTTGCCAGCTGCTTCTCTGACAGGGAATTAATATCCTGAATATATAAAGAATTCAATAAACTTAAGGTAAAAAAAAAAACACCCACAAATAACCCAATCAATTAAGTAGGCAAAGGAACTAAACAGACATTTCTCAAAAGAAGAAACACAAATGGCCATCAAATATTGAATATCTCTAGAAATCAGGAAAATGCAGATCAAAACTACATGGATTTTGTTTTGGTTTGTTTTTTACACACACACCCCCCCCCCGCCTTTAATTTTGTTCAGATGACAGCAGAACCTGGAGAAGCTGTTGCTGCTACTGATGCACAACATACTGCTATTATTGATTTATACACACACACACACACACACACACACACACATATATAATTTTGAATTTTTGGAAACTTTATGCTGTCAACTTTGGAAAAAGTATCCCAGTTTACTGTGTTGAGTTGGTATTGTACAGAATTTAACAATCATATTGATCTAAAAATGTTAAACTTATTTTTTCCCATTCATACAAGGGTAATGCACTGTATCAAATATGTAAGGTCTTATCATATTATATGGGTTTGATTACAGAAACTAACAAAGTATTCTCTAAATAATGAAAAAAAAACTACATGGAAATTTCATCTCCCTCCAGTCAGAATGGCAATTATCAAGTATACAAATAATAATATATGCTAGTGAGGATGTGTGGAAAAGGTATAATCATACATTGTTGGTGGGAATGCAAATTAGTATTACTGCTCTGGAATGTAGTGTGGAGGGTCTTCAAAAGACTAGTAATGGAACCACCATATGACCCAGCTAACTCACTCCTTGGTATTTATCCAAAAGAAGTAAATTTAGTATATTAAAGTATACACCTATGTTTGCATACAAGCAAGAGTATAACTAGAGAATTGAGTTCTTGAAGTGCAAATGTTGGGTTACAGTACAAATGTACAAATGCACTTTTTTAAAAATTGTAGTTGTAGATGGACAGTATGCCTTATCTATCTATCTATCTATTTATTTATTTTTATGCATACTAAGGATCAAACCCAGTGCCCCAAATGTGCTAGGCAAGTGCTCTGCCACTGATTGACAGCCCCAGCCCACAAATGCACCTTTAATTTTGATCAAAATTATCAAGTTTCCCTCCAAATAGGCTTTACCAATTCTTAGTCTTGCAAAATGCATATGCACACTCTTTATCCCATACCTGTATTCACACTGGACATTATTAATTTTAAAAGATTTGCCAAACTCATGAGTGAAAAATATAATGTTTTTGTTTGTATTTTTTCAGTTGCTAGGAAACGTGATCATTCTAAAATTTATGCCTCAACTCATGATCTCAAAACTTGTATTCAATATCAAGTGTCTATTAAAATATATAATGTACAAAGTTAAGTCAATTTAACACATCTAAAATAAAATCCAAATTTGGAAAATCTTTTTAAAAAATGAATTAAAATATGGACAACAATATCAACTGAAATATGAGGGAGTTAAGATGACCAAACTGAACCAATCTTATGCTCAAACCTGGTTTGAAATCTACTGCCTACAGCTTTCTCAGATTTGGCCCCATTTTGGTTCCAAATTTTGTATATAGCTTTCTGTTGGACATCCTGAGTCATCAAACCACTATGAAATTGCATATTTTAGCTAACTTTGGTCTCTCTTCAGGGCCTATGTCTCATTATTTCCCCTTCAGCTCCAGGCACCAAAATCACATGTAAGTGAAATACCAAATCACAAGATCTCATCCTAATCCCTAGGGTACACCCTGTCCTCCATGAGTCACCTATCTTCTGTTTCCTTTGTTTTCTCACATGTACAGTGCTCTAGATGTAGCAGGTGCCTCATGGACTCAAAGTTTAAGGGGCAGTCAAGATTTTAAATTATTTAGAAGGGATCATCCTTGTCTTATCTACAGGTTGCTTCCTTAAGTAAATTAACCAAGGGCTCTTTGAATATAAAATGTGGAATTAGGGAAATAGCCATTTATAAGAAGAAGTTAGCAGTTAATTTTTCCAGTTCTGAATTATGGTATATTTAATTTATAATAATCATAAAAGATATTATTTTACAAAGAAGCTATGTGCCAGGAAATGTGCAAGAAGTTTTATATGAATTGTCTTGTTTCATACTCATCTGAACCTAGGAAGTAGGAAGTAAGCATTAATATGCTTTTTTTACAAATAAGTAAATTAAGGCTCAGGGGCTTTAGGTGACTTGCCCAAGTTAATATATAGCTCTTACACAGTAGAGCTGGAATTTGATTCTTTCATGTTTCTTTGATTCCAGAGCCTATAATTTTGCCATTGCATCTCATGATCACACCAAGCCAGTAATAGCCCTAGTTTCCCTGCATGGATTTCTTAAAGAATGTTCCTAAACAGCTGGTGTAAGTTACTTTGGAGAAAGGACTGATTGTAGGATATAAATGAGGGTTTCTCATATCTTTTCAAATGCATCACTTGCATTTGATTTAATGGACTTAATGTCTCCAAAATCTCCAAGAGGGTACTTTTCAGCCTCACATCCAGTCACCCTAGAAAGAAAAAAGGAAGAGAGTAGTGATAATAATTGCCAGCAGTTTTAGAGTAATGTCCCTTCCCAATAATGGTTTACAGTAATACTATTAATACAAACACATTTTTCTCCTTTCTCACCCTCCACCCCAAGGGAATTCTGTATTCTGAGCTAGATTGAGATTGTGAAGAGAAATTAAAGTTAAAAATGCAAGCTAACTCAAGACAAGGGAACAAATGCAGGTATGCAGATCCCAGAAAAGGAATGATACCACTCTATGCAATACCTCATGTAACTGGAAAATGCTAGGTTATTTCACTTACTCAGAGCTAAGTGATGTAGCACCAGGTTTTCTGTGATTAATAGTGGTGGTCAGTGGTTGCAATTCCCACTGCCTTGAGGCATCTGTAGTGGGAGACATAGGGCCGGAGATGTAATGCAGCAAATGATTCCTGCATTTACCTTGATCTATTTTTCTTTTGTGGGACAGGCCATTTTAAGGGGCTCATATGCTTTAATCACAAACTGATTGGTTTAAATGTAAACTAAACATTTTTTATTCCAAGGCACAAATGTATTATCATAGTAATATATGCAATGTGGACTCTTTTGAAAGTATATTTTTGCTTTTTCATTCAAAATTATTTTGCTTTTTAAATTTTACATATCTATGGACTATAGTGTGATGATGCACATGATGTATAATGATCATAGCATTTATTATTGTTTGTTCTTTTTAGATACACATAACAGTATAGTGTATTTTGGCACATTATACCTACATGGAGTATAACTTATTCTAATTAGGATCCCATTCTTGTGATTGTACATTTATTCTTGACTCTTAATGTACAAACTGCTATTTCTAAGGCAGTAACACCAGTGTTTGATAGATAATTTTCTTTCCATGCATAGTCTCAAGGATGCTTCAGTCATCAAACCCTATTTAGTTCTGTCCAACCCGAATTTTTTAAAAAAGCAATACAAATAGAGATTCCCATTTCTCTATAATAATAATGTCTTACATTTGCACAATGCTCTTTAAACTTCCAAGTGCTTTCACATCTATTACCTATAGCCTGGAGATTCCATTTCTGGCTGCACCAACTTGTTATCAAGTAGAGATAATAAACCAGTGAGCTCTGTGCAATCAAATCTTGAGAATAAAAGAGTGTAACCACTCTCTTATTAAGGAATATATCCAGCTGTAGCAGTGCATCTGGAAACCTGCCAGAGGCAAAGGCTAATGAGAGCTGCAGGCATCTGAGTACTCGCCTGCACTTTGTGTTAGAAAGCATCTTTTAGCCAAGGAGCTCAAAGCCCTTTAACTAAGGGAATGGCTCCAGTAGACCTTGAGCAGCTGGAGAAAACTACACCAGCCAAACTTAGTGCTCATAGAGTTTAGAATGGTATTCCAGGATCAGTGCCTATCTGTAGCAGAATAGTCAAAACATTTGATCAAGCAATTCTCCAAATGCGACCTTGGATCAGCTCCATCAGCATCACCGGGGAACTGGTAAGAAAGGCCAATAATTAAGTTCTACCCATTTTTGGCATCAGAAATTGTGTGTGGGGGTGGGGGGGAGTCTATCAATCTTTGTTTTCTCAAGCCCTCCATGTAATTCTGATACACAATAAAGTTTGTGATTTACCATCCTAGCCTGTTTTGAACCTCATTCTCTGTTGTACTCACTTCACCTCCCCATTTACCTCTAAGTTTTTCTCATCATCATCTCTCTCAACCGGAGATCAAAAATTCGCTCACAGGAGTCAGGAGGGCCTGACATAAACTCGAAATTTTACCCTTCAGAGGACTTTAGTGGGATCAAAGGTTAAATATTAAGCTGAAAAAAATAAACCTCTAACTGGGATTTTTACAAAATCAGTCAATGTATGGTATATAACTGGTAGACTAAAACCTCAGTACATTCACATTTATGTCATTCAACCTATTGTCACTATTAAATAATATGGAACCTTTATGTGCATTTTCTCTCAAGTACAAACAATTAATTATGTGAGTACAAAAATAGTGTATATTTAAGTACACATGTTTTTTTCAGTTACCGTGTATATTCATACTTGAGTACACCGGTATAGACTTAGATTTCAGAAGGCTCTGCACCTCACCCCATTCCAGGACTAAGCTAGGAAGCCAGAATCTCTGGGACTACTCCTACAGCACTCTCATATAAGTTAGTGTATACTGTCACTGGAAATAGAATGCTCTTAGATGTGGTGCCCATTATGCAGTGCACAACCTGAACAGCAGTACTGGCAGCCCTGATTCTGCCTTATAGCTGGCACCTGATACCTTTCCCCTGGCATCAACCGTACTGCAGATATAAGTTGTAATTCTATCCAGATTGTTAACTACCACAAGTAACTAAGCATAGCATTTCCCCGCCAAATCACTAAATTTGAGAGCTGGAAATGTTCTTAGGTATCCCTAACTCAATTTCTTCATAGTTGATAAAGAAACTGAAGGCTGAAGAGACTAATAGGTCTAAGTTCAAAAGACTAGGCAATAACATATTCAGAACTGAACCAAGGTCTTCTGTCTTTCACTTTGTTGCTCTTTCCCCTTATGTGGCTTCCTTTTGCTTGGAGGAATTGTGTGTATTTAAGATTTCAGTAAGTCTCACAAACTTTATAAGCCAATTTTTACTGAGTCTGTGTGCATGCTACTTCATGAATAATGAGGAAAAGGGAGTAAATGGGCAGGTTTTATCTTCACCATACATGCACTATTTGTTTTGTTTTGTTCTTTAAAAAGAGAGAATGATAAAATACTTCACTCATCACTCACTTTTTTAATTAAGAGCAATAAACGTGAAACTCTATTCACTAAAGTTTTTAGAAGTAATTTAAAGTCCATCAGTTTTTCACTAAGGCCATGGCGTATTAACTAAGAAACAGAGAACAAGGTCCTAAATCTGGCTCTGCTTCAAACTCAAGGGTGGCCTTAGCACAGCCACTTAATCAACCTGAGCTTCAGTTTCCCCACCTATAGAGCTGGACTTATTCAGTGATTTCTTAGGTCCTTTTGAGCTTTGATGATCTAAGACTCTGTGAGGAGAAAGAGAAAATGATTGGTGGAAGGGAGAGGGGTAGAGACAGATCTAAAAGGCAGAAAGTGAGGACACAGAAAAAGGCTCTGGGTAAGAGAGATGAATGGGAAGAAACAGTAAGGTGAAACAGAAAAATGTAGGGAGAAGCTGAAAAGTAGAGAGGCAGAAAGAATCAGAAAACGAAGACAGAAGATAAATTCAGTGGGTTCTTCCTGAGTGTCAGGATTATATTCCTTCTCTACTCACCTGACACTCTCCTGTCTATGGCTATTAGAGCAGATCATAACATGTCCCCACCACCTCTGTTATTCACAACTTCTTCTGCCCAGAAGTCATATCATCTGGCTTTCCTTTCCACATTTCAAACAGTATCTGTGAAATCAAGGTCAAGGCTACTGTGCAATTCTGAAAGTTCTGCATCTGTATATACCAGGAAATTGTGAATTTATGTCAGTATAGTATCCTGCCATAGTACATCCTAGAGAAGCCTGTCCTTTATTATTACACATCTGCTACTCATAACATTAACTGGTACATTATCTGGAAATTTCAGAACTTCCAATAAAAATTCTTATGGAAATTTGATGTTTTAAAGCAGAACTAAATGATTTGTCTTATTTGAAGCACTCCTAATGAGGGAAAATTTCAGAAGACACACTGGACTTCTTTGTTTGATCTGTTGATTCATTTGACCTATGCTCCCTCCTAGAGACTTCTTTAGCCCTAGCAGGCAGTTTTCTAGTCTTGGCTGTTTTCCTTCACACCCTGCCTTCACCCTAATCTTGATTTCACTATGTGATGTTATTTTCACCAACTCTCCATTGTAAAGATAACCCCCCCACACACTCATGATCTGACTGACCAACAGTCATTCCAGGAAATAACTCAGCTCCTTGCCTCCTTCCAAAACAAGGAAATATCTGACAGATTCTTAAATGTAGGTTATATACAAAAGTTTATTTTTCCCTTCTCAATTCTACATTGTAACCTTCCAACCCCAACAAATAAAACATACCACAATTGAACACATAAAATTTTCCAGAGAATCATAGCATATCCATGCCAGAAGAGGCCTTAGAGGTCTTCTAATCCAGCAATTATCAAGCCTAGCTGCACATATCAAGAACTTTAAAAACATAACAATTCCTGGGCCCTTCTCCATACCAAATGAATCAGAATTGCTAGGAGTGGGAACCGAGGCATAAATATTTTTTAAGTTACCCAAGGACATTGTAATAAGTAGTCAGAATTAAGAACTCAGTTTAACCCCTCATTTTGCAGATGAAAAAGCAAAGTTATTGAGATTGACTTCAGAATCATAGAAGTGTCAATACATTTATAAAGCCACCAACCCATTCCATTTGACATTCAAAAGCTTACATTATGCATAGTCTTTGATAGAGTAGAGCTGCCAATTCCAATAATTCAAGTTTACAATTAAGGCAAATCTCCTCTTTGATTGAATTAACTTAACTCCCTGTTAGGATCCAGAGGCTTCCTGCTATGAATTTAAGTCAAAGCTCTCAGGTATATTGAAAAAGCATATGCCATGTCATTTTGGTGTTGTGGGCCTGTCTTAGTCCATTTGGGAGACTGGATAATATATAAAGAACAGAAATTTATTCCTCACATTGCTGGAGGCTGGAATGTCCAAAATAAAATTATGGCATGTTTGATTATCTAGTGAGGACTTTTTCTTCACTTCCAAGATGGCATCTCATTGCTGCATCCTCTAAAGTGGAGGAACATGGTGTCCTCACATGGCAGAAGGTAGCAGGAAAAGCTAACCAAATGCTACACAAAGTCTCTTTTATAAAAACTTTAATATCATTCATAAAAGAGGAGCCCTCATGGGCTCATCAATTTTTGAAAAAGCCATCTATTAATATCATCTCATTTAGCCATTAAATTTCAACATTTAAATTTTAGAGGTAACACATTCGAACCCTAGCAAGGCCCTGTGAATTATGGAGAACATTCTCTTGAAGAATCCAATGTGGACAACAACTGAAAAATCATCATTTCTTGTTATGAACTTTCTTTGCAGTTACTGTTGAAGTTGGGGGTGTTTGCTGCTCTTGGGAGTATCTTCAAATAAAACAAGGAAACCACACTGGAAAGGCCTCAGTTAGGAAGGACAGAAGGACAGTCTCATTTCCCTTTACCACCTACTTAACTCTCTCCTGCTGAGAAGAAATACTTAATCTCTTCAACTGATGAATGATTTGTTATGATTGCCAAATTCTAGTATTTTAGAACTTGGGAGAGGGAGGAGGCTCTTAAATTTTGAAAGAGAGAAACTCCAGTGAAATAAAAACGATTTATATTTTATCCAACAGAAGATAACCTATTACTCAAAGAGGCAACATAGTCTAAGAAAAAGAAATAAATGTATATTTTCAAAGTTTTAGTAATATCAGAGGATAAGAAGTGCAGGAAGATCAACTAGAATTTGAAGAAAAGTAGTAGAATAGGTTCTGCTCTGCACAAACATGTCTCTAGACAATGCATCCCAAAGAGTTAGCATAGGAAGTCATTTCTTCTATTATTATTCTATTATTAGTCTTTGATTTATTATTGTCTTGTTGTCCCCGATGTCTAGACAAAACATTGAAATAGGGTCTCAAGTACTTTTTTCCACATGTACATTAAATGCAAGAGTTAAAGTGTAGATAAAGTTATAAGTAAGGAGATTAGTTGCTGAGGAAAATCATTGTCAAAAATGTTAACCAATGGGGCTGGGGCTGTAATTCAGTGGTAGAGCACTTGCTTCACACATTTGAGGCCCTGGGTTCAATCCTAAGTACCACATAAAATAAATTAATAAAGATATTGTATCCATCTGCACTAAAAAATATATTAAAAAATGTTAACCAATCAAGTCTATAAGTGGACACAGGCAAAAAAAAAAATGAAACAAATTGCCAAAGCCTCAATATTCTTACTCAAAGACTAACAACTAAATCACTACCCCATTTAAAAACTCCAGAAGGCAGCAGATTAGATAGCTGTTGGGTGTCCTACTTCATAAATTGCTACTTTGGAGTCTTTATAGGTACCTGTAGCTAGACTCCCTGAAGAAAATGAGAGCTTTGGGGACCTCCCACTTTGAACCTCTGAGATGATCTGGAAGCTTACACTGGCACGACTTCCTCTTTGTGAAAACATTAGGAAAGAAAGGTTATGAACAAAATTCTTATGATTTTTAATACAGAACACTGAGCTATGGTATAGATACTCTGCTTATTTGTTTTTCTTTTCTTTTTTATTCATAAGAAAGAAACCATATGAATTAAAACCTGTAGATATGGGATTGATTAATATTCCCTAACATTCAAAACTTTTTTTAGTTCATCATTGGCACCTTACATAAACTTCATATATCACCCCCCAAAAAAATGGTTTTCATGCACTTCTTTCTCCCAGAGAGAATTTGAATCATAGACAGGAGGGACAATAAGTAATACCAGTCAGAATTTAATCCAGGACCCTAATTTTATAGACAAGAAACTGAAACCAAATTAAAGTTGAAGTGAGTTATTATATATAGTCCATAATTAAGTTAGAAAAGTGTTTTTTTATAAAAATCTAACATTTGAAGAATAAAAAACACCAGAACTAGAATAGTATCCCACCCTTATGACCCTCAGGACTGCCTCTTTGTTTTACATTATACTGAATCACATCAGTTTGTCAGCTTTTTTGCCACTGTGACTAAAAGACCCAACCAGAAAATTGTAGAGGAGGAAAAGTTTATTTGAGGGCTCACAGTTTCAGAGGACTTTGTCCACAGAAGGATGGCTCCATTCCTTGGGGCTCAAGGTAAGGCTGAACATTGTGGAGGAAGAATGTGGCAGAGGAAAGAGGCTCACATGATGATCAGATAGCAGAGAGAGAGAAACTCCACTCTCCAGATACAAATACATACCAGCAAGCCAAGCCCCAATTCGAACCTCCTCCAATCACACCCTACTACTTCAGTTACCACTCAGTTAATCCTTATCAGGGGATTAATTCACTGATTGGGTTAAGACTCTCAACTCAATCATTTCTCCTCTGAACCTTCTTGCATTATGTCACACCTGAGCTTTTGGGGGATACTTCACATCCAAATCATAACAGCATCCTTCTTTGTGTATTTAAGATTAATGACAGAAGGAATCCCTGGAAGGAGTAAAATGGTAGAGAGTGAGTAGACTCATGACTTATGGGTTTGAATCTTAAATAGGCCAGATTCTCCACTCCTTGACTTGTTAAGTTTTACAATTAAGTCTGGTAAAAGAGGGCTGGGAACTTCACAGTTGAATGACAAGATAAAGAGGTATCTACAATCTGTGTTAACCTTTAAAATTGAAATTCTATATCTTCACCAAAGCAGTAGACTTATTTCACATTTCGAAGGCATAATAAATCAACAGATTTCTCAATATTTTCTTCATATCTTCAAATGCATCTTTCTTAAAATTATAGCAATCCAGAATTAGCAGTTCTATTTAATATTATTTATGCCAGTCCCACTTCCAACTCCAACACCCTCATTTTTAGAATGAAAAAAATAGAGATCTAGAAAGGGCTATAGTGGGTGAAACAGGATTCTTCCTGTTATATTTCCTAATCTTGTGTTTTTCTACAACATCATCGTTTTTATCACTCTTGTTTGCCAATAATAATCAATCTTAAGTACTTTCTAACACTCTGCCATTAATGGTCTTTGATCAAGTGAAGATCACTAGTTGACTCAGTCTTGAGTTAAGCTCCTTCTGTACAAGATTATCACATTCAAAGTTCCAAGACAATGAATGGTAAACTATACTCAATCCCTACAAGATGTAAAACTTGACTCTTCACATAACCCTTGCATTAACCTGAACTCTCCCCAACAGAGCAAGCCCAGGGAGGAATCTGCATCCCTTTCTTTCTTTATTTTCATATCTCAGCAGGAACACCTAGATTTGTATATGGAGACATAGACCTCTTCATGGAGGGCAAAGGAGAAAGTGCTATCAAATCTGCCAAAATCCACATACATTTGGACTTCAACTTCACTTTTTCCCCTAAAAAACTTCCTTTTCTAACCTGATTTCTCCCAACCTGCCAATTTTTCTAGACTGAATTAATTTTATATTCTCCAAGAGTTTACACTTTCAGACATTCCTTTTGGATGGAATTCTTGGCTTGGCTTCTTGACTGATTAGACACAGCCAGCTGCAAGTTTGTGACTACACAGCAATTAAGGAAAATGTATGCTTCCCCTATCTTTTCCCATCAGAATCCCTGATACAAGCCAAATGCCAAAAGGGATCTGGAAGCCAAGAGCTATGTTCTTCTAGGGTAATGCCATCCTTTTCCACCTGTGCCAAAATAATAAAACAAGCAAATAAACAAAAACATTCCCTGTAAGGCTATCAATCCTCCTTGCTATTCATTTTTTTCCTCACTTGTATAGAGAAAAGTGGTGATGAATTTTTTTATTCTCATTATGTCAAAGTTGATACATAGGTGAAAAAGAAAAGATCTATCAACATAAGCAAGATTTTAAAACCCTAGGCACTCTGTTCATCTGAAGGTAACACTACTTGGCTACTTATGGTAATTTAGCAAGAACAGGTATACTTTAGTCACCCAAATATAGTTTATGTGTTAGTGCAAAAGAGAAGATACAGATGGAGGTTTTATAGATTTCACTAAACTATTGAAAGGGCTGTACAAGGAAAAAGGCTAAGTCAGACCAAAATTTTTGAGCTGTGTTTATTGTTTTGACACCTTACAGTCAAATATCTAGGCAATTGACGTGAACTATCATTTTGTTGTGAATAACCCCAAAGAAGTAGGGATTTTAAAAATAGGTTTATTTCTTTTGACCAAAACTTAACTATATTTTGCTACATTTGGACAATGACTTATACTGCTGATCATCCATTTCTGGATAAAATATCTTGCCATGAAATCAGAAAGTTTTTTCTTAGTATACTGAGTTATACATCGCAATTGTTTCCAAGCTTGTACTTCAGCATCTACACTTTCTACCAGTTGAGATAGATAGGGAATTTCATATAAGACAATTTCATACAAACCCATATTCCACCACTCTGAGTCCTAGTGTCCTCTGGTAGGTTTAGAAAGGGAGCCTAATATCAATGAGATTTTATGGCATAAGGGTAAAATGTAGCTTTCCGCCACAGAGATAGTTTGGGCTTTCAGCAATACATTTTAAGGAACACAATATCAACCTTACAAAAGCATCTGATGATTTAAACAAGCAAGAGTTAGGGTTGTAAATGAGAACTAAATCAAATAGCTAAACAATTCGTTTGACTCCAACTTCACAGGATATTATTGTATAATCCATTCTCACACACAACTGATTAAATATACCTTTCAGTGTCACATTTAAGTGAATGACCAGTTTGGAAACTGAGATAAATTAATTCGGAAATATGGTACTGTGCTGTAGGAATAGTAAATGGCACATGGAGACAATTTGATGTGTTCACACCCTCTCCCTACATCCTGCTACCACCATACTAGAATTTATAAAGACTAGTGCAGCCACATAGACTGTCATAAAGAGACAACACTAGCAATCTTTAGCAAAACCCCTCCCCACATATTTTTTCTTTAAGCTTTTGTTTTCTCTTTGTAAGATACCTATAGAAGCCAGGAAGATTTAAAAAAATCGGTGAAAGTAGATTTTGTATAGACAATATTGACTGATTTTTGAAAACTATCAACTACTACCACATTTCAGGCAGTTGTCATGAGACACAAGGTTGACAGATCTTTCAACTTTAAAAAAATTATTGACAGACAATAATTGTATATCTTTATGGGGTACAGTGTGTTGTCTTGGTACACTTATACATTGTATAATGATCAACTCAGGATACCTAACGTATCTCAAACATTGATCATTTCTTTCTAATGAGAACATTCAAAATCCACTCTTATAGCTATTTTGGATTACATGCTTCAATGTTGTTATTTATCATCACCCTTGTTCAATAGAGCACCAATATTTACAACCCAAGTTTTAAAGAAAACCCAGAGATACAGATTTTTTATGTGTAATTTCACAATTTTAAAATTCTGGATGCTTTTTAAAAATAATCATGAGGGTCAAACAAAAGTAAAATCCAGTTTGTAATCTGTTACCTGGACAAATTCTATCCTTTCTTCACTACTCAGCCTTGGTTTTGGGCTTCTGAAAAGCCTCCCTTCACTGATTTGCCTCCCCTTGAGTCCTTCTGCCTTTTTGGATTTCTTTTTTGCAATATGGGGCCTATTAACTTTCTTCTGTACTATAATTTGTCTCTCTAACTTAAGTGTAATTCCCTTGAAGACAAGGATTACATGTTATCTCTCATAAAGCCTAGCCCAGGGCTAGGACATAGTAGCAGACCCTTAATAAAGATCACCTATTACAACATAATCACAACTAGAAATCTTGGTGAAATTCAGTCCTTTTTTTACTAGTTGATTCATTCACCAAACTTTTACAAGTGCCTGATACATTATAAGCACCATGTCATGTGCTATAGGCTATCATTTGAAATACCACTGCTCTTGAGGAACTAAAATTCAAATGTTGAATCCAAAGATACAAAAAATTTTCTATATGAAGTCAAAGCTAATCTATTGACCAAAGTGCACTGCATTTATTTCCACCACACTGTTCACACTGTTCTTTCAGCACTGTCCAATTGAAATGTAATATGACGGACAATAGTAATTTTTAATGGACATTGATTATATACATCTATGTAATACAGTGTGATCATTTGATGTATGTATACAATGTGAAATGACAAAACTAAGGTAATTAGTATTTCCATATCCTTAGACATCTACCATTTCCTTATATTGGGAAACTTCAAACTCCTTTCTTGTGATTCTTTATAAAATATATAATAAGAAGTTGTTGTAAATTATAGCCACCCCACTATGCTGTAGAATGCTTGAACTTATTCCTCCTACCTATTCCTCTTCCCCCCTACCCTTCCTAGCTTCTAGTGATCACTCTTCTACTCACTACTTCTATGAAGTAAACTTTTTTCACATTCCACATATGAGTGAGACCATGCAGTATTTGCCTTGCTGTGACCGGTTTATTCACTTAACATAATGTCCTCTAGTTCTGTTCATTTTGCTACACATGATAGAATTTAATTCTTTTTGTGGCTGCATAGTATTCCATGCCACATTTGTAAGTTTGTGTATTTTATCAATCACATTAAAAACTATAAGAAGAAGCAGGTGAGCTTAATTTTAACAATGTACTTTAACCCAATATATTCAAAATATTATTTCAATATCTAATCATTTTAATTTAATGAGATATTTCACATTTTTATAACAAGTCATCTAAATCCAGGGTGTATTTTATTCTTAAAGAACATCACAAGCCATACTAGGCATATGTCAAGTGCTTAAAGTGGGGATTAATAAATGTTACATCCTCCAGAGTCAGTAGTATTCTGCTGGGACCTTTAATCAACTGAATTTTATTGATATGATGCCTAAAACAAACATGAAATCAGAGAGTCACAGGGGAATGGATGCTTTTGCAAAGCCAGGGTTGATTTTCCCTAAGATGCCAGTTAAATGTTGTACAAGATAATTGGAAAGAAAACCACACATGGATCTTTACCGTAATACCCCTAGCAAAGGGAGGCAATAACCCCAGCCCTCACAACTCACAGAGTAACAAAGACCAAAAGAGAAAAATTAAAATGCTCTTGAAGGGCGTCAAAAGAGAAGGGTGAGGGGGCTACTTAGGGATTGTATCTCAAACTGTTAAAATGGTGACCCACATCAAGAGCACATTCAAAACAACACCACTGAATACTTTTTAAAAACCTTGACACACTTTCTCATTGTATTTATCTTAATAATATCAGGGCCAAGAATCATTAATCTCCATTTTATACACAAAAACACATTAAGGAAACAAAACAAAATTAAGCAAATTGTGTGAGATCCCCTAGCCTTAGCAGAGCTGGAACGTGAATCCTTGGTCCCTGGCTGTGGGCCCAGAATTCTGCCCATAAGACCACTTGTCTTGCAAAGTTGCATCAATGCGTTGCCAAAGCAACAGGTTGAAAAGTAGAAAAATTCAATCATTTGTTTGCTTTGTCTACATGATTCCAAACAAGTAGGCTGACTGGAGTTTTTTTTTCCCCCCTCTTACTGAATTGGTCTCTTGTCTGAGCATTACATAGACACAGTTTAAACATGATTCTCTCCAAACATGCCCATTAATTTGCAGTGAATGTAATTATTTTCTACAAATCAATTACCAGACACATAGAGTTTATGATGTCTATCCACACAGTCAGGTAGGTCTGACCAGGACCTGGAGGGAACGCTGGATTATTTGGTGTGGTTGTTTTGTTCTGTTTTGTGTTGGGGACTCTGACAGCCTCATTTTGGCTTCGTTTTTTCCATAACCCCATAATGGTCACTCTGTGCAATTTATTAAAGCCAGAGTGGGGAAAACAACCACTGAATCAGAACGTTTGGTCAAGTTGCTCTAAAAGTCTGTGATGTCACTGTAGCTTTAAGTACTGGCAACCTAGTCGGGTTTTGGTTTTTCTCAGTGACTTCACTGGTTTGTAAACAAACAATTAATGTGTTTCTAATTGTCTGCCAACAAATATGTTCCTTATCACGGTGGGAGCTGCTGTCCTGTGGAGAAAATTAAAAGAGCCCTGTAGTGAATTCTTGGGTAGAGCACATGAATCTTTTGGCAAAGTAAAACATCACTCTCTAACTTTTCTGTTTCATATGCATAGTGAATTGTCTCAAAGCGGGCACACCTGTAAAAATAATCACGCTACAGAATACACTCTCATATAAAGTGAATTGGACTCCCAATCCAGAGACCTGGGGGTGGGGTGGGGGGCAGTGCAGATTCTGTCATTAATTAGCCAGGTGCAGGTCACCTTGGATAAATAATTTAACCTCTTCATGCCTCAGTGTCTCCTATCTGGCAGGATAATAGTCCTTGCATTACACGCTTTATAGAGTTGTTTTGAAAATCAAATGAGATAATGTATGTGAAAGTGCTCTGAAAAGCGTGAAGCACTATGAAAGTATAAGGGCTCATTATTATCATTATCATCATTAGTATTACAAAGCATGGAAGAGCTTTATAGAAAAGCAATGCAATCTGCTTTGGAGGAGTAAAGGGAAAAAGAGGAGTTCAAAGAACCCTTTGTTTTGGGGTGGCTGGGTTCTTTGCACGTCTTTCTTTCTGAAAAAAAACTTAAACAATCAAAACACACAGAAAAGGAAGGAACAGAGAGTCACTCTCCTGCAAGTAATCACCGTCTATTACAGAAACTCATCAGTCGCTCAGCTCTTCTGATTGCAGCCGTGGTGGGCAGAGAGAGAGAGAGGAAGGCAGCAAAGAGGGGGCATCTTTTGTGCTTTGTTAGCTGAAGAACCAAGGACCAAGTGACTCTGGGAAATGATGTGCCTCTCTCCCATCTCTGAGTTTTCTGTGACCACTTGAAGTACCAATTGTCTCTAACTCATTTTCCTCTCCAATCATTTTTCTCTCTAATCATGTCCCTCTCCAATCATTTTCCTCTCCAGTCTTCTTTGCCCTTCAGCCCCCAAGCTCCAAACAAACCCCCCACCCCTGTGGTTTATTTCTTTTTCTTTTTTTCCTTCCATTCCCAAGAATTGCAGGCTGGGCTCACTCAAAGCCCAAAGAACCAGACCATTCAGTGGGAAACACCAACGAAAAGTATCATTTAGGGGATTGACAAGTAATATAGGCAGCTGAGTGTGACTCCATTTTCCACCTTGCCATGGGATGTTTTGGCATTGGGCAGACAGAGTCTGTTACTCCTCAAATCTCTCTAGAGGGGGAGGCTTTTTGAATGGATGCCATTTATTTTTGCTAAGTATCCAAGGATGTTAATTAAATACTTTATTCTTTGGCAGCAGCTAAATTAAAGATATTAAATTTCTCTTCTTAGCAGGGATATATCACAGTCACAGAAATTAGAAGAAAAACTTCCTTTGAACTAATGTCTTTATCAAGTGCATTTCAACAATCCATAAGCATCCTTTATTCCTATCAATTTTCTAATACTAGGAAGATTGGACAATAATAGTTTTCATAGTGATAATATTAAACACTAAGAGTAACACCTGCTATCTTTTTAATCCAGGATTTTACAGAATCATTAAAATATCAGAGCTTGAAAGGCTCTTAAACATCATCTAATCAAATTCCTTCACAGTGCAAATTTGAGAAAATTCTGGCCAAGTGAGGTTAAGTGGCTTGTCCAAGGTCATACAGCTATTTAATACATTCTAGACATTTTTTTCTTGGAACTCGACAAAACACCTCCACTCCATTCCCTACTAGTCCATATAATAGTTTTGTCAGGTCTATCCTTATAAAGAGATGATAAATGTATGGTTTGCAGGGTGGAAGGGGTAAAGTGGGGGGGGTTTGTGATTGATTTCATTTTTCACTTTCCCCAAAATATCATAGTATGGAGAGGGTCCAACTGTTAAAAATGCAAGTATCAGAAGAAAGGGGTACCATGTTAAGCAATCTTCAGCCACTTATCCTTGATCTTGAAATAGTACATCGGATTAGTTGGTCACCTACTAAGGACCTGAGGGAGGCAGACAAGGACTTGATAAAGATGATATTGGTGATTAGACTGGATAGCTCTTGCTCCAGGGAAACAGAGAACAGAAATCTGGATTGCCTGGGCAAAAAGCATGGATATCAAAGTGAGACACCTAGGCTTCCAACAATTAGCAAGAGAGTCCTGTGTCCCTGGGAAGGGGTCTAAACTTGTCATTTTTTTAGGCACCTACTATAAGCCAGTTACTTTTCTAAGTGTTTAACTTACTTAATTTTATTTAATCCCCACTACAATCCATGATTCCTAAAGCTTGAATTGTAGCCAACTTCTGTCTAATTCTTGGAACACAATAAAATGTCCCAACTGCATTTCCTACTATACCATTCAGGGAAGGAGATACTTATAGGAAACACTGCTGAGGGGAAAGGAGGATAGATAGAGAGTAGACAGGCCCTAAAGTACTAGTTGTTTTTTTTTTTTTTCATTTCACCATTGTGTTCAGAGCCAGATCTACTCGCAGTCAACAACACTGACAACACAGCTGAGGAAGTTATTCTTGGCATCATGAAAACACTTCACTCCAAATGGGGCTGCTAGGGATGGTAAATCACTATGGAAAAAAGAAAATCAGTGGGTCATGTAATGAGGCAATTGTACTGAAACATGACTTCCTGGAAATCAATATTAACAAGGCTATTATGGGCTTGTGTTTTGTGTATACAAAAAGAACAAAAAATGTACCTTATAAAGAAAGCACATCCATTAATAGACAGCAGGGCTATAAGCAAAGTAATGTAGACCATCATGGCAAAGGTAGGGTCAATGCCTGCAGAGAATGAGAGGAAGAGGAAGAATGACATTACCAGAAAAGGGCAGTAAATAAAGAGTACTGCAGAGTGACTCCTCATGCTTTCTGGTGACTCTAAAATCAAGCCACATCTACCTAACCTAATTCCATTTTTCTACAGCACAGTCTGTCTTGTTGACTTTATGGACACAGAAAGCAATTTCACTGTTCTGAAGCAAAACCACTCACCACTCTGACAATAACAAATCACATGAATTAAGACTGACCAGAGTGTTTCTTTGGAGGAAAAAGTCCACGAATGGAAAACTTTGAGTACCTTAATTTAAGTTGGACTGAAATAGAGTTCTTGAGAATAAATATGCTATCTCACCTGTGAAGGGTAAGCATTACGTTGCTTCATAAAATAAAAGACCTTTTTAATTCAACTGATCCCACAGACCTCATAGGTTACAGATGAAAAATGTAATACTCATCTTTCAAGGGTGAGAGTGAGTCTGGTTTTGATGATTAGTGCATTTATCAGGATGTAAACTGGTCTCTGTAAAATCTAAGCATTTGAACAAATTTTGGGATTTCAGAGGGAAATACATGATGATGTGAGTGAAGAGGTCGTTTGGTATGTCATGCTAAAGCAAAATAGGAATCAAAGCCCATTTGAAATAGATGTGTTTGGTTTTGGAAGGGTGTAAAGAACACTTGTCTAAGAGTAATATGGGTCCTTTCAAAGTTCCCCTCTGGCTGTCAGAGATTTGATGATGTTTCACCTTCCACAAACAAGAGGAATCCTACCAGTCAATCAAACTGCAAGTATTAACTGGATGCCTACTGTGTTGGCCAGTTGCAGGGGGGAATAAGGATTATTAACTATGGTCCCTGCCCTCAAGGTACAGTATATTTGGGAAGTGGGGAAACCATCATACACAAGAAACAATTGAAAAGTAATTTTCTACTAAGATGTAAGGTGGAAACTTTTAGTGTAATCAGAGTTCAGAGAAGAGGGCGTGTATTTCTGTGGTAGGACCTAATTGGCAAGACTTGAATATATCAAGGGAGAGAGAGAGGTGATCTTTCAGCTGAAGAAGCAATCACAGGTCACAGACTATCAAAGACCAATGAGAAGTAAAATGTCTTCCTCTTATTAGAATAACCTCTTTGGGAAAGAGTGAGAACCTTTTAAAAATGAATGGTGGGGAGGCATTTAAATCATGGATAATTTTTCAAGTCTGGGAAGTACCTCCTCTAGTTCTTATTATTTTAAATTAGATCAAATGCCAAGACATTGATGTTACCCAAATGAAAATGACTGACTTTGTTTGTTTCAATATTAAAATATGTCGTGTCCTAAAGAGGTTCCCTGGTAAACCAAGCTGAATTAAATCGACTACTAGTGATTTGCCATTCCTTATTTCCTCAGCAGATCTTCCCTTCCGCAAACCAGCATTCTGCATCTGCTCTAGGGGACCTGCCACCAGGGAAGTGAATAGGTGTCCCTCTGAACTGTAGCAGCTCCATTTCCATGTCCATAGTGTAGGTACCATGGAGCTCTCACTCTTTCCAGCTTGGATCCAGGATTACATATTCTGAAATTCCGTTTCCACTTGAATCTCTCCTTATCAATTGGTTGAATCCATAGAACTGCATGTTTTTGGAATGCTGAGCCGGGCTAGCAGCACTAGCCCGTCCATTTTCTTTCATAGCATTATTCATGGCTTGTGCGATAAAGTAAATTGAATTGTACATGGTTCCAAACAACAGTGAAACCTATTTTAAAAAAATTACAATTATCTTGAGCCCTAGTCGCCCTAGAGCGATCTCAGTGTATATTCCAAGCCTGTGTTCATTATTATGTGCTGCACGTCTGAGTGGAGTAGAGCTATGAAGACCCAGAGGGAAAAAAATTGTTTCTGAGGACTTGCTTGCTTTCTCCCCTGAATTTTTCTGTTTTTCTCCCCCAGGCCTTCATATCTTTAAATATATCAAATATGACAATTTTATGAGCAAACTAAGTCATACACAATATATTTTTATACTTCTAAACTAAGAAAGTGATTTAGGGTTATAAAGGGCACTAAAAAAACAAGCATGAAATAGACAAGGGGAGTTCAAAGGAAATTTACCAGGTTAATTACTGGTGCATTATGCATGAAAAAATCATTGTGCTGGTGCTGCTACACTGATAGGTGTGTGTGTGGAAAGACTGTAAATAATGTGTCTCCACAGTCCATGCCTGTGCCCCATCTTAGTTTAAACTAGCTGATCTCCTAGACACATGCTCCCCAGAGAAAGTGAACTTGGAATCCAGGTTTTTGTTTGGTTTGGTTTGGTTTTGTGGTACTGGGGATCGAATGGAATCCAGTTTTAAACATATATCTACATACAGAGTCACAGGGCCAAATGTATAGAAAATGCTGATTTTAGTCAAGAAACCTTATATTCTATTGGTTTGCAAAGTGGCAAAGTCTTGGTAAGAAGCCATGTAAAAGTGGTAAGGGTGCTATAGTATATTGTATGAATTTATCTGCTAAATAAATATGGTAAAAGCCATAATATTCATGTACAATGCCTGATGTACTGCTTTTTAACCTTGTTAAGTTCATTTTTGGAATAAACCTTGCACCTTTTTTCCCAAAGTATATGACAGAAAAGACATACAAGCCCTCCCATTTCTGTCCTCTCTCCTCCTCCACCACATAGGACCATGGCTTTGTGGTTTTCCATAACATTTCTCTTCTAAGTGGAGATCAAGAAAGTTATGGTCATGTCATCTCACCAAGCATCAGAGAAAACTGATACTTGCTACTTCTGTTTTGAAAGGCCTAGAAAGCAAACCTCCTGTAACAAACTTCATTTGGAAAAAAAAAATGAGGGTATTTAAAGTTGAAGAAATAATTTTTATGTTGGAAATGCAATCAAAACACAGAGAGGTATAGAGGCTAGCAAGACAGTGCCACAACTTGTTAATGTGGAACAGAGGGTTTTCAACTCTGGCTTCAAATTAAAATTACCCAACAGTATTAAAAATACCAATACCAAACCCACCACAGGCCAACAAAATGAGATACTTTAAGTTTGAGGTCCAGTAGTCATTGTTATTAAAATCTTCCTACACATTCTAACATATAAATGGGGTTTAAAACCAGCAAATAGAAGATGACACACTGGCTTTTGGTCTGTTTCTAATGTCAGGATCTTTGAGAAAGACAGAATAGTCAAGAACTCCTGTCAGACAGATGACCTTATTGACATAACAGTCCAGAATGGTAAGACCATGGATGATTCAATCTATTGTTTTTGCCTACTAGATAGACCTGAACTTGAATAAATGAATGAAAAATAAAATATTTCATTGATTTTTATTTAATGACTTTAGGTAACTCTATCCTAGGCTTTTAGAGCTTTCAACCATGAGAGCAAGGTCTAGGTTAGAAGTAGTGATATTTGAATTTGTTCAGTTTAATTGTCCATGCTGTTGTTGACTATCATCAGTTTAAATTTACTCTGCTTAACATGTAACACTGGCTTCCAAGGAACTTTGTCCTCAGAAGTGCACATAAAAACATGCCTGACTTGGAATGCCATCATTTAAAAGAGAAAATGGCAACACCATTTTTGAATAAAAAGCTAGACACATGTAGAGATCAAGAAACCAAAGAGTAATTGAATTTGTTATTAAAAATGGTCTCAAACCTTGTACTTGCAAAATTTGGATAATAGATCAATCTTTTTGATGTGATGCTCATGAACACAATACCCTTATTTTGTATAGAGTGGGGTAGAAAAGATGATCAGTGCTTTTGGGAGCTTTTGGCAACATTTTCTGATGACCTGCCTGGTGGTCTACTTCCTGGAATGTTCCAGTCCTAACTACATCCCCTTCAGCCTAGCACCCAGTACAAGATATGTATACTTAGGGTAATGGAAAACAATAGGTGGAGCTTAAGCTCCCCTAAGCTTGCTTAGAAACCCAGAAGATACTTTTTGCTTAACTAACAAAGGCCACATTTGGATAAAATATTCAAAATGTGTATTCCAGAAATATGCACTTGTAGCCACTAGAATGTCATTGAAAACAAGCATTGGGACTACAATCAACAGGAAGAAAATCTAATTTCAGAAGTCTATCTTATGCCAAAGTATAAAGGTACCATTTATTTATCCTTGCCCAATCATCCTGAGACCAAATTAAGAAGTTTATCACTAGCTTCGTATCTCCAAATCTATTTTGATTTATTTGTTATATTTGCACAGGTCATCATAAAATCCTAGTATCTCTTACATCAGAGAAAAGCAATCCAAAAAACCTATTCAAATCAAAGTATTAGACACTTAGTAATGTTACTTTGCTTGAGTAAAGCATTAGCATTAGATATTATTAGTAGAGTGTAATAAAACACAAGAGAGCAAGTCGATTGTATGGTTAAATGGTCAGGTTCTGGTATCAGACATGAGTGAAATCCCAGGGCTGCCACTTGCCATCTGTATGACCTTAGGCAAGATACCTTGATTTTCAGTTTCTTTCATGAAATGTATTAATAACTAATTTGTAGGGTTTTTCTGAGGATTCTATTGGCTCATTTCTGTCAGGTACCTGGTGCAGAGTGAACACTGAATATTCAATATCCGCTATTATTTGCATTTCAGAAAAACATAGGTAACATCACCCTGGAAGTATTGTGTTCAAGTTCGTTGTCCCAATATTGAATTTGTGATCAATAAGTAGTAGAGTCCCAGTTTTAGACCCAATGTCCTAAATGGCAAAACTGTTCTTCATTTGGACAAAGATCTCCTTTCTGTTTTGTTCTCCATTATATCTGCTGAACAGAGCTGATTCACAGTAATAATAAAAACTTTAATACTAGCTAGCACTTATTGAAGGATTATTAGGTGCCAGGCAAGTTCATTAGTGTGTTAACTCCTTTAATCCTCACAACAACCCTGTGAGGTAGGTACAATTATTATTCCCAAATTAAAAATGAGGAAAAGAAGAAATACTGAGCTTAAGTAAACATGGGTAGTCTGTCTCCAAAGCCCCTGCTCTTAACCAGTGTGCTCTATCTGACTGCAATGAATACTTGCTAAGTTAATTATTAGGCTGTGGTAAACTCACCAATAAAAGAAAATTCTTCTTTTCCTTTTTTACTTTACATTGACTTCTTGATTAAAGATAGCTAAATCAAGATTTTTTTCCTTCACTCTCATCCTCCTCTCAAATGCCAATCTCTAATCTGTAAACCTGAACCACAGAATATAAAGATAGAAAACCGCTATAGAAGTGGTGACCAATTTAACAGAGTAAAGATAAATCAAACCTAAACAACTGAAGAGGGAAATATTTATAATCAATAAGCAGATTTTCCCCTGGGAATTCTAGAATGGCTTAATAATTAGTGATACCAAGTATCATAGAAGTAGGGGTGAGATTGAACACTAAAAGGGAGAGAAAGCACTTTGAGCAGCTGTATAAGGAGCAGTAAGACATCCCCCATCTCCAGCTCTGCTGAGGAGAGCCAAACCTCTGCAGGAAACAGGATAAATTCATTCACCAAAGCTCTGGGATATTAGACACAGAGAAGTTGGAAGTGAAGTGGGGCACAAAAGCCAGTGATGAAGTCAAAGGCTTCATGATTAATAGTGAGAATTCCAGTTTCTTTTACCCAACATTACTCCTGGAATACTGGTCACCAGTATTATGATTCCCGATGAGGAGACTGGATGACTCATATCTGTAGAAAGCCCAAGATCCAAGACCTACATATAATGACCAAAAACAAACAAACAAACAAACAAAAAATAGCAGTTGGTAGACAATTGCTTTATACTGAAATCCAGTGTTCAATATAACCACCATGCATATAAACCTTAAAATCTGCCTTTTAGAACTTTTGTCTTAAATATGAACAACAGTCATGGTCACCAGATATCCAAAGAAAACAACATAAAATATAAAGATTAAAAGAAAGAAACATGAACAATTAGGAACTGAGAAAAAACAAAGAGAGAAGAAGAAAACTCCAAAGACACTATAATGCTTATCTACAGTGCAATAAGAGAAAATATACTTGTCCCTCTGTGTCCACATGTTCAACAAACTGCAGAACAAAATTATTTGGAAATAAAACTGCATCTATTCTGAACCTGTACAGATTTTTTTGCCATTATTCCCAGAACAATACAGTATAATAATTATTTACATAGCTTTTACATTGTATTAGGTATTATAAGTCATCTAGAGATGAGTTAAAGATTATGGTAAAACATGCATAGGTTATGTGCAAATACACCATTTTCTGTAAAGGATTTAAGCATCCTTGGATTTTGGTATATGCAGGGGTTCCTAGAAGAAATGCCCCACAAATACCAAGGGACAAGTGTACTATATTTATGAAACAAAAGCAGGGACCATTAAAATAGAATGGACTCTTGGAAATTAAAAATATGATAGCTAAATATTTTACATGTTAAAAGATTTAGAGCACAAAGTTGGGAAGCTCAGGAAGAAAAATTAAAACTAAAGAAATGAACCATATACGAGAAATAATAAGACAATTAAAAGAACAACCCACAAAATCTTACATCTAACTAATACTATTTCCAGAAAAAAACAAAGTATTATTGAAGAAATTATCAAATAAATAATATAAGAACATTTCCCTGTTAAAATGAGCTTGTAGATCAAAAGGCCCCACCAAATGCATAGCATAATATGTATCAAAGACTCAGACAACATCGTGATATCTCATAGCATCAGAAAAAGAAGAGAA